TTCCAAAATGAGGATCTAGATAGGACGTATGTATAAAAACATTTTGAACCTTTCAAAGCACCTTTTAGTTTGTGTGAAGTTCTTCTTCTAACACCAAGGTGTCTGTTGCAGCCCAGAGCAAGGTTGCTGCTACCCAGGACAGCACTAATTTGCGATGTATTTTCTGTGGTAAGCAACATTATGTTTACATTACTTTTTCAAGCTGTGGTACATACTACTTGCACATTTCCATAACTTTTGTTTCTGTAGGCCATAGTCTGGCTTGTGGTATTCGGGGTATCCAGCAAGCTACGTTTTGTGTTGTGCTATCTGTTGTGGTTCATGTAGGTGATTCGGTCAGCTTTTGAGTTGACTTCTTAGTGAGGGTGTAGTTAGGATGAGGGTCTTAGAATGAATTCTTCTGCAGTTCTTGCAACATGAACGAGAAGGGTTTTTGTTTGTTCGTTTTTGTTTTCAACTATTTTGTTTGAAGCAGTCTTTTAAATAATTTATAATTTATAAATTATATAATTTTTATAATTTAAGGGACAGAATTATATCTACCTTAGTATGTTTTGAGGAATGTGAATGTGTCTTATCTGAAGAGAGCTTTTGCTCCACTTGAGTGAAGTTGTTAGGCGCACGTGTCGTGAGGCGGATGGCAGCCATTGCTGCTTCCCCGGCTTGGCTTCTCAGTGACCGCCTTCTTTCTGCAGTAGGTGAGGAGTGAGCTTGGGCTTACAGAGTGCTCTTGCACTGCTGTGCACACGCGCGCACACGGTTGTGTTGTTTGCATGCATGAGCCGCAGACGTCCCTTAGCTGCCCTGAGTCACAGTCAGTCAGACAGGTGCATGCTCGTGCCCTTACACAGGGATAGAGCTGTGTGCGCACGCACACGCACACATGCGCACATACAACACATGCACACCTTCCTCTGAATTGTTTTTATCCTTGATTCTAAAACCTTCTGTTTTGAAAAACCAAGTTCAAAAAATGACTTGTAATTGTTAGAACTTTTTTTTGACATATATATATATATATGTGTGTGTGTGTGTATATATATATATGTGTATATATTTCTTACTCCTGTTTACCTTGACTGGCCCGATTATTCTATGAGATAGAAAATTATAAAGTGATAATACTGCTAAAATTTTATATAAACAGTTTAGCTGTGTATATGTACTTTATCCATGTGACTCAGTTTTTGATGTGATTCTTCAGTATTTCTGATACTGTTTCTTTACCTAATTCTCTTTAGAATTATTTAAAAATTTATGTACTGCTGGTTTAGGCAAAGAAGCATGTGTTATAAATTTCCAAAAATGAAAACTCTGATGTATTTCTTAATCACCTAAAGTTCCATTTTCGGCTTGCTCCGGGCGACACGGTCCCATCAGTGAGCCTATGCTGCTCGTCTTCATAACTCCCTGCTCCCTAGGGTTTAATCAGTGACTCTTAGCGATGCTTCTCGGCCTCCTCCTGGGGGCTCTTCTAGGCCACCTTTTGAACTAGCCATGAGTTATTATTCGTATTGGTGTTATTAGGACTTTTTTTAGTTCATTCTGAAAACCTACTTGATGTTCTGTACTTTGCTACTTACTGTGTTGAGTTCCACATGCAGAATAATAGATACAGTTTACCCAGTTGCAGAGAGGATTGATTTGCCCTTAATAAAGGTGAATTTTTAAGTTGTGAAATAATGTGTTAAAAAGCAGATTTTTCCCATTATTACCTTTAATTGATTTAACTGTGTACAGTGATATAATTACCACATTGCTAAGTTTACACTTGATTGTATTGTGTATAATAACACCTCCTGGTCTTTTAGTCCTGTGTTTTTAAGCAGTCTGTGGCTAAGTGTGAAACCAGATTTGTGAAAATTAAAATGTGACAGCAGGTGCAATGTGCTTTAGCCAAAACTCAGTATTAAGTCAAGACTGAAATGCCATTCATTCCTGGATTCGAGAGACACTCTCTTCTGCTTTCCATCATTTATAGAGAACCTATCAGTGACATGGACACATTTTCTTTATTAGAAACTAAGTTACGTCTCTGCTATATGAATTCTAGCCAGGACAGATTAATATCAGTCCTTGTCTCCAGCTCTGGTAATAAGACAGAGAAAGTAACCCTCAAAGTTACCTACTGTCTTCATGACACCACAGTAGGGGCGAGGCAGGCTCACGTGTTTCCTTTTTCCCCAAAGAGAACTGTCAGCTACCACATGATGCTCATAGCAATACTGTCATTTGCCCACCGGATATGAAAGTGCCTTTTTTTGGATTCTGTGAGAACACAGATACTCTTTTAGGAATATGACCAATACGAGGTAATAGTTACAGTGCAGAAAACACAACAGCTGCAGGCAGGCTTGACTGCTCTTAGTTGCTGCTTCATGTCGTGAGCCTCATGTTGGTGTATCGACCCTTTGAATGTGACCCCGCAGAGTGACCAGAAGGAAACATGAAACTGTGTCCCGGGAGCTCTTAAGTGACCCCGAACTCTTCTATTCAGTGCTTACGGTGTATTTACATTATTTTGAAACACACATGAATTTCGGTGTGCTCACTATCGTGACTTATGGTACTGGTGGAGGAGAAACAGACAAGACAGCCAGACTAAATACAGGTACACTAAATACAGACCCCAGGGGAAGGCCCCTGCTCTGCGGCCCACCACGGAGGGGGTGTCTGTGGAAAGACAAGCTGCCCGGTACCACAAAGAACGATGTAGGAAACACTCGTAAGAGCTTTTCTGGGACCAGAATTCCCCTCATTTTAAAAGGATCTTCCTTAAGTTTTCCTCTTTTAGCTGCATGAATAAACTGTGGTAGATTAATTTTTTAATGATATCACCCAGACAATACTTCCCACATTTTTAAAACCTTTTAAAACAAGTTTGTTAAAAAATCCAAAATTTCTGTAAATTGTTTTTAAAAAAGATAATTTCTTCTCATTCTAACTTTTTTTAAGTCAAATTTCTGTTAGTTTTTTTTTTTAATCTGTTTAATAAAATCAGGATTGAGTTGAAATTTTGACACCCTTTTTTTGAACTTTTTTTGACACCCTTTATTTGAGTTAAAACATTAGATTTATATTGGGGAATTTCATCTGTCAGTATCACTGTAGAGGTCACAAATGTTTGTGCTAGATGTAAGCAGTATGTTAGGGTCCTTTTTTGGGATGGGTGCTGGACAAGTCTCTCCAACCCTGTGGCATCCAGCTGTTTAATTATTCGAGCAGTATGAGCTTTTCACTTAAATAAACATTATTTTAAAAAATAATTAAGCCAGAATGGTCTCATGAGTTGCCCAGGCTAAATGCTCACATTTAATATTTTTGGATAAATGTAACTTTGGATATAAAAATACTTCCCCCAAATCGTTTGTATTTTCTCAAGTTTACCCTCCACCCCCAATCTTCTGTTTGTCCCTCCTTCTGCCGGAAGAGACAAAGACATCTTTTCCTTCTAAGAGTATTAGACATTAGTATATGGCTTAATATGACAGTCAATTTTTACATCAGTATGTTCATTTCCAAAAGAAGGAAAGAATTCCGGCCTGTTTACTGACAAGTTCTACTTTTCATTTATTCAAAAATTTAAGTGCGTGTTTAACATTAATTTAAAAAGCTTTTTGATTTTTTGTTGTTGCTGATGACATAGGATTAATATATTTTAATATTTCCTTTATGTGGTTTTCAAAATAGCAGACTTAGGCAATCATGAAATACATCACTGTAATTGTCATGTAACTTGTCTTTTAGAGGACAAATTACATGATTAATCTAGAAATGGGTAAAGAGATGAGAAAAAAAATTCAGTAGGTAAGTTTAGATCCACTTACCTGTTTTTCCAAATTTGGGATATGCCAGTACCATACCAACATTGCCAGGAACCTTATCCTTGTAGCTGCAAGGTTTACTTCCCTAGCATGGCACAGACTTACCAGGAATTTGAATTAGTACACAGAAGCATTTCTCTCTTACCTGTTTCTAGTACTAGCGGCCTACAAAACACTTTGAAGATATCTGTTAGGGGCATTTGCTGGCACACTAGATTTACTTGTTTACTGGATTCTCTTGTTTACTGGCTTAGATTTCAAGATTGTTCTGTTTTAACCCTAGGCTTTGCATATTAGGTCCAGTATTTATTTCTCTCATGACACATTTAATTTTTTATATCCAGTGACATTAAAATGTCCCATATCTAGTGGCATTTGTTATAAGATGGTAAAAATGGGTCTGCATTGCACATGGTATGTGGGAATGGATGGTCTTTAGTTTCTTGTGACAGAGCCATGTTGGTTTGGATGTAGGTTTTGGTTTTTGGGTGGTTTTTTTTTGGTTTTTGTTTTTGTTTTAACCCCAAATGAAAAGTTATTAGGATTACCTCTGTTACATTAAAAATTCAGATAAGTAGGTTAATTATATATAGAAGTTTAGTAAATGTTTGTTTTCACTAGTGCTGGAAATGCCAAGCCATTAAATAAAAATGGCAGCTTAAATTGGGCAAATTTGATAAATGCATTAGCATTCTTCATCCTAGTAATAAGGTTCTCATGCTCTCTCTCTCTCCTGTTTTTCATTTCCAGTGTTCTATTTAGGTGAGTTTTTGAATTCTGATTTTTTTCATTTAAGTTCTCCCTCTCCACTTCATGAATAAGTACCCCAAAGAGAATGTCTCATTGTCTTAGAAACGTCCAGCTCAGGTGCCTATTCAGATGCTCATTGAACACTTGTTTTCCTCAAGCTCTTCATATATAAATGTTTATTTTTCCTTTATTGTTGATGTTTTCCATTTGTTTCAAGTAAGCCTTTCGGAGATGATGACAGTATTATGTTGCAGTCTTTCATTTGCTGTGTGTTATCGTAAAGCTTATATTTTATTTTGCTAAATGAGAAAGAAGATACATTTGTAAACATGTGATGGTTTTATGTTATTCTTCTCATGATTTTATCTCCTCTGTCCAGCTAACTATAAAGATAATGTTCATCTATAATGTTTTCCTCCCTTTTAGGGCCAACATTGCCTAGACAAAATTCTCAGCTACCTGCCCAAGTTCAAAATGGCCCATCACAAGAAGAATTGGAAATTCAAAGAAGGTAAATTTTTTATAAGTTGTTATTTGCAGTTTGTCTTTCTACTGCAGAAGGCGTGTGAGCATCCTAATATCAAAAGTGGATTATGTCCTGTCAGCTGTTTAAAAGTCACTTAGCAGCATACAAAGTGACTTTCACTTCAAGGAGTTTTATTTTTATAGCAGTTATAAATTGATCTATGGTCGTTATGGCTTTCACATAACTAATTTAACTAGAAAGTTGAAGGCGTGTTGGCTGTTCATAGAAGTCATTGATCTTGAGATATTACCATAGTGCTTAGTAATGGAATACAAACTCATTCTGTTTATGATTAAATTGCTGGTTTGGTGCGGTCAATAATACTATCTTGTTGCTTCAGTGCAGTTTATAAAGAAATACATTGGAAATTCGAATACAGCCTCATTTAGGTATAGTTGTTTCTGAATTAGTGGAGTCTCTGAACTATAAGCTACCAAATTCATAACAAAATAGTTATATAAAATTCAGGTACGTACAGTAACAAAAATTGAGTTAGTTAAACCAGTTGTCCCATTTTAAACAAATGAAAACTTTTTGGAGATGTTGATGTTGCTTTTTACCACTAGTAGGTCACCTGTTTTATTTTAGAGAGCTGATAACCACCACATAGATGGATTCTTCCATTTGACAAGCATTTGCTCCATGGCAAGCCAGCATTTCTTCTTGTGACCTTGGATTTGGATCTCACATTTGAAACACTCTTCAGATTCTCCATGTTGTTTTGATATGTGTGTCATGTTCCCCTGACAGACAGACAGATAGAAGGATCTCTACTATGTTCTGTGTTGGCTGCTTTGGGGTGTAACTGCTTAGCTCTTGGGAAAGGCCCTCCCGAAATGAATTTTGATTTTGTCACAGCCTTTTATATTCAGTTCAGTCGCTCCAGAAATAGCCCCCAAATTTGATGAAAATCTATCCAACTCTTTGGAGTGGTGCTATAACAGATACAAATAAAATTTAGTTTTTGTAGGAATAAGGAAAGTTGAAAAGATAGAATTTCGGTTCTATATTGGGTGTTTTAAACACACCAGAACAATTCCAAGAGTTAGAAATTGTAATGATTCTGTTGCCCCCCCTACACACACACACACACACACACACACACACACACACACGGAAAAGTAATTAATAAAAAATGATCATGGGGCACCTGGGTGTCTCAATCCATTGAGCATCTGAGTCTTGGTTTCAGCCCAGGTCATGATCTCCGGAGTTGTGAGATCAAGCCCCAGGTCAAGCTCTGCGCCTGGGGAGTCTTCTTTGCCTCTGCCCCTCCCTCCACTCGCATTCTTTCTTTTTCCCTCTCTCAAATGAATGGATAAATCTTTAAAAAAAATGAGCATAGTATTATTGGGAATAATATTTGTAGAAAGCTAGGAAGAACCAGGAGAGAACCCAAACATAACAGATAATTTCTGGCATCATGGCATGGCAAGCAGGTGGCCCCTGGGACAGTTGCTTGCTGAGGACAATACAGAATAGAAATTGGAGCCAGCGGAGGGAGCCGCTGGCTTAAGGGTCTCTGATGGGTGATCCACTGCGCAGAGGTTGTGCACAGCTTGCAACTTGCAGTTTTAGTGGAAATGAGTATTGAGTGAATTTTTACTAAATACTGTGAAAATGCTGTGCCCGGTATCTGATTTGGTCTTGTCGCCGTGCTGGCTGGCCCTGCAGCCCCCCCGGACTTGAGGCTTATCTGCTTGTATGTAGGAAGGTACCACAGGGCTTGGAACTTGGATGTTGTTTATATTACTTACTTAGTTCAAGACTTGAACTGAGTTGTTTTAAAGAGTGAAATCCAAAATTCTGAAAAGTGGGTGTAAATTTTAAAATTATTTTCTGTCCATAGCCACAGTCTTTCATTTTAAAAAATTTTTTATTTTTAAAATTTTTTAAAAGATTTTTTATTTTTAGGTCATCTCTATACCCAGTGTGGGGCTCGAGCTTACGACTCCAAGATCAAGAGTCACACGCTGCACGGACTGAGCCAGCCAGGCGCCCCTCTTCTTTGTTTTAGGGAAACCTATCAGAGACCACTGTCTTTGTCTCTCAGTGTTAATTTTTATCTCTGTCCCTTCCCTTCTCTCTCTTCCACCCATTTCCCTTTTTATCTGGTGAAATCTGTTTTGTGTCTGCTCAAATCTCCTGGAAGTGCTGCTTCCAGCATTGACTTGTTTCTAGTTGAGATTTCTTCTCCTCGTGCACATCTGCCTCTTTGCTTTTCTTCCTTTCGATCATGCAGAGGCTCTTCCTTGCCACCCCCTGTCCCTTGAGCCCCTTCGGCTTCTTGCATGAGCGTGCTCATGAGCTGTCCTTTTTCTCCCTCTGTACATGGTCTACCTTGACAGACTGGTGATTGGGTTGCGTGTTGTAGCTTCCTCTTAACTGTCTTTTGCTGGTGGCTTCCACATGGACAGCTGTGACTCTGCACCTGAGATCAGTGAGATATTTCCCACGAAATGGAGCAGTGTCGTGGGTCATTTCGAGAATTGGGTGACAGCAGTGGACACGTGCCCTCTTTCCCCCAGCCCCCACCCTTCTGATATGCATGTAGATGTGCATTTATGTGTGTCATTTCAGAGGGTCACGGACCCTCTCAGTTCCAACAGTTGATCCGCAGTGAGAATTCCTGTCATGGAGCTCACGCATTTGGGTGTCCCAATAATACCGCAGTGTCAGCCTTTATGATGTCATTCTTCATGGGCATATGCTTTCTTCTCTTTAGTATTTCTCCCATACTTTCTGTGCAGGAGGTCTGTAATGCTCTTCATTCACCATCCCTGTCCCAGTGTACCCTGTGACTTCTTTCTCTAACAGCTTGTTGGATCTACTCTTCTGACACTCTCGTGACTAATAGCTTCTCCAGTACATATTCTCTTCTGTACCGCTAGTGTTTTCTAGTTGGTTTTCCAGTCTTTAACCCAGACCCCTTTCAGCTATTCCCACTTTATTACTGTCAGATCAGTTCGTAAAGTCATTTGCACATGGTAGACCCCCATATGGCACTGGAGAGCATAAGTTGGGGAGGGTCACCTGCCACACAGCTGTGCCCTTTCCTTCTTATTAATCCCCAGAATGAATCACGCCTAACCATTTCTACGTTTAGTACTTCTGATGGCTTCTTCCATAGCATGAACATAATATTCTGTTCCTAGTTCTTGATGGTCACGTGATGGCTGGGGGCTGCTGACCCCCCCTCCCCCACTAGGAAGTATGATTTGTCCACCTCCCCGGCTGGCTTCCAATAGCTGTTGTTTCAGTCCTGCTGCTGGTTTCTCTTTCAGATTGAACCTGCGTCTTCCCTTGAGCAGTCTCTGTGCTCCTCGCTCTGTGACAGCCCGTCCCTGCGCTTCCATCCCACCCGCAGGTTTTCTCGCCTCACAGTTTAGATATTGGCCGTCTTTCTACATCTGTTGTTAGCTCTGTCCTTATGTTGCAGGTGATCTTTCCCCCACCCCTTCTGGAATCCTTTAAACCTGTCAACCACAGTAATCTGGGTTTTCAGGAATAGGTCACTAGCTAAAGTTTTTGGTTTTTGTGGTTTCATTTTCCCGCATTTTTTTTCTTTAGCTCAGTACTTAATGGACCTTTTCCATTTGAAGACTTAACAGCCATTTAAACATTTCTTCTCTCTCTTTTCTCTGTTCTCTTTTTTGGGAACTCCTACTAGTCAAATGCTGGCCCCTTCTGGATTATTTCCTCATGGTACTTCTCTTTTCTCATTTTTTGCTTCTTGTTTTGTTCTGTATTCTTGGCGATATTTTTAACGATATGTTCTAGACCAGCACTTTCTAGTAGAAATACAATATGGGCCATATATGTAATTAAAATTTTTCTAGTGACCATATTAGCAAAAGTAAAAAAGAAACAGGTGAAATTAATTTTAATGATATATTCTATTTAACCCAGTCTATCTAAAGTATTATCATGTCAACATGAAATATGTATAAAAATTGCTAAGGTGTTTTTCATTCTATTTTTCATACCAAGTCTTCACAGTTTGGTATGTGTTTTACACTTACCGCACATTTCTGTCCAGACAGGCCACATTGCAAATGCTCAGGAGCCACATGCACGGCTCACGGCCACCCAGCGGGGACAACGCAGTAGTAGATCGTCTATTGGAAGATGAATCTTAATCTCCAAGAGTTTTTTCTATTTTGTAATTATTCCCTTTTTAACAGCCTGTTCCAAATTCATGATTCTATCTTAAGCCTCTCCTATTTCTCTTCCTTTGCCTGAATCTTCTCCTTCCTATAGAGTTGAATTGTTTGTTTTACTGGTTTTATTCAAATATCTGGTCATCTTTAGTGGTCCATTTATTTCTAAACAGATGAGATTGATTGGTGTCAGTCCTTGGCTTGGCTTTCCTCTTGCATCGTGGAGGCAAGGTCTCTGCTGGGCACGTTCCTCCCTGACCAGGAGGGCCGCCCGGAGGTCTGTGGAAGTGGTTGGAGCATGTAGACTGGCGGGCTCTCCTTTAGGGTACAAGGGTGGGGAACCCACAAATGCTGAGCTACCCCTAGTTACACCAGAAGCCCTGACTCACCCGAGGCAGCGTGTTGAGTTTGTTTCGAAAACAGTCTTCAGTGGGAAGTACCATCCCATCCATTAAGCTAAGGCTGGGGAGGAGAGGGCTGGCAGATGCCACTGTTCTTCAGACAAGGTGCGAGTTTATTAATCAGTCTGATGATGGCCATGCCACCCTCTCCCGTCCTCTGTATCTGCAGGCCTCACGGGAGGTCTCCCAGGTTCCTCTTGTCATGTGCACTTCAGCTACTCTCAGTATGTGTTCTGGTTGTCGTTGCCTTCGCTCTGCAGTGCGGTGAGGAGGTTCCAGGCACTGTTCCCCATGCTTAGGACACACCGGGACGGGGTGGGGGGGACCTAAACAGCCTTACCCCATCCGACGGTAAATGGTAGACATGGCAGATGACTGGTGCTCTGGGAGGAGGCCCAGCTGAGTAGAGGGGAGTGTGTGTGGC